AATAGAACTCCAGTTTGGCCTAGAAGGCTCATGCCAGTCTTGGCCTCCGCTCCAACCTCAGCTGCTAGGTTCTACAGCGTGCACCATAGCAACGTCGCTAGGAAGTCGGCGGTCGCCTCGAAACGCGGGTTCAGTACGACAGCCCATCAAGCCAGACTATATCAAAGCGAGAGTTCTAAAGCGGAGCAGCTTCCGAACAAAATCTTCTCCGGCTGTCGCAAGATGCCTTCCTCTTCCAGGATTCGTGACCAGGAGCACTGAGGCGGGAGTGCCAGAAACCGCTGCTGACGGTTGTGCTAACAGTAACAGAAAGGGACGATGTCTTTGAGAAATGGGCGGCAATTTACACGATCTAAGGAAAAGAGTCCACGATTCAAGAAAATTGGGTGTGATACGCACAGAAGCACTGGCGGAACGGCAAATACGCATCCGTTTCTTAAAGCCCCGCACCCTGCCTCTCTCTTTCTCTTTCCATCATTCTCTTTAAGCGGCTACTTATTTCACATAGGATAGTACATAATCATATAATATGTGACGGGTGTATTACGCATTGACGGAACGATCCGCAGCCGCCATGAAAGACAACGGCAGACGAGCTCTATTTGATCGCGAGTAGCAAACAGAAATAAGCATTAGGGGGTATATGAGCCTGATGTACGGACGCTAGTGATAAAAAAGGCGGGTGGAAAAAATTTAAAAGCCTCTCAAGCGTCGAACGCTGGATGGCGTATGCATGGTTGGCCTTTTTTTACGGGTGTCTCTGAGAGGGACCATCAATGTTTGGATCATGATTATAGAACGGCAAGCAATACATGCCAATCGTCGATACAAATTGTGCCATGAACATAGTCCAAGCCAGCTGAGGTAGGGAATTTTAGGTTCAATATACGGAGGTATGAAGTATGTGTCCTATAGGACGAAATGTATCGAAAGGTAACGAGTTTGTAAAGCTTCCCAAAGCAAATAGGAAACATATTATCAAACTGAAAAAAAAAGCTTAAAAAATAACCAAACGTATGCTCGGCCAAGGAAATGCAAACATGGCAAAATAGACTACAGTTTTATAATCTATATATAGTTGTAGAGATTTTTCAGGAATCCAGTCCCGCTTATCAGTTGTTCCTAGTAATAAAATACATCTTGACATACATTACGCTACACGTAACCATTTTGCGTTTTTAGTTATAGCACTATCTAGCACACTTTTTCTTCGTCCCGGATATGTACCTTTTTATAGGCTCTTTGTGAAATATTGAAAGGTGGTTAATTAGTCGTATACATATGGGATGAGTCTGCCTACTCGAACCATCCTGTAGGACAAGCAAATCTCGACATTATTCATTTTTTAGGAGAAGGTAAGTATCCATGCAGACCTATTCTTACGCCTAGGCTACATGGTTCTTACCTGCAATCATTAAACTCTAATGTTAGATATATTAAGCTATTCACGCAATAGCGCCTATTATACGATATAATATTATTATTATTTGAATATATAATATGATCGTTAACTAAATCGTATGAGATGTACTTAAGGTTTGTACCTACCAATTATTATAGTTTATTTCGTGCCTCCAAACGCATACCGCTGTCTAAAAGCACACGTGAGTAACAGGAGAGGGCAAAAAAATGCGCGAAAAATTTCTTTTGAAAGCACAAACGTTCTGCTACCCTTTCTGTTCTATATACTAGAATACAGTTACATTTGTAGTGAGTTATTTCCGAACTTGTTTCCACTCGCCTTTTACATCTGACCCATCAAACGTGTGGGAATTATGATGCTCCAGTTTATAGTTCGAAATGGACTCTAAAATATATTGGAGATTTTAAGAAAGCTCGACGAAATCGAGCTTACGACACGCTCCTTTCTCTATTGATCGTGAATTCAATAGTTTTGACACCTTAGGTCATCGGCTTCACAAGTTATTAATTATTATAATTATTATTATTAATCACAAGTTATTAATTGATATTTTCTAGGTATTTCATATATTAGTTTTCAAAACACTTCATTAAAAAAAAAAGAGCACATGAGATTTGTGTCTCTATTTAATGTTTAACCAGTATGATAGCTTGTATTGATATACAGTGCGAATAGGAACTACCATAAACCAAAGTCAGGAATTAGAACGAATCTATTTTTCGAGCCGATATTCAACTGAAGTTACTTACTTTTAGGTATAATTAAATATTTTGCACGGCGTCCAATGGAAAATTGTTAAGCTATCAAGTTATTTCTAGGTAGTTGGCTAAAAACATGATTTTCTGCTTAAATACCCGCTTCCCTTCTATTCTGCAATGTTAGTGGAGCTGGTGTTCTAATACATAAGCGGATAGCTGCGTTGAAGCGTCAGCGGGGCAACAAGCAAGAGGGCACCAAACAATACGGTAAACAAATTTAGTATGGAACTTATTCAGAAGGCGATTCGCTAAGGGTATTGGACACGCATAACCAACATTGTCAAAAGATGTAAGGGGATGTTCGGCATCGTGCACAAACACGTTCAAAGTCAATTATTGTATAATTACTCTCTACTTAAGTTACCTAACTTGGTCTGCCTATATGGCTTACTTGATGAGCCGCTAGAACCATTTTACTAGATCTGAAAATCGGATCACGCAATAATTACTAGATATGAATTGTCTGATTCTGTTGGAGTTGAATTTAAGCTAAAAATAATTCCCGTCCCACAAGTGACAACGTCAAGTCTGACGTAGGACGATAAGGTTGATTTTAAGGTTGCCTAAGCGTCCGGTAATAGTTCTTAATAAGTTCAATCATTAGTTAATATAATACAATTATTGTATATATCTATCCATTTATTATTATAGTAAATGATATTATAATAAATGACTCAACTCGCGGAATCACTAGCCTTCGCCTTTTATTCGATCAGACGGGATCTATTTTCTATATTGTAGGTATATACGGGTATTAACGAAATTAATAGTCTGAGGCAAAATGGTACAACGAACGTGGTTCAGAGAGGTTGGCACTTTTGCTACGCTATGATTGAGTGGCTTTATACTGCGACGAGTAGTACCCAGTTTTTGCTGTAAAGAAGTTTACGGACGGACCTATTCTCATGGAACGAGAAGAGCTAGGTGAATCGAACTCTAGTACATCGAAATACTTGACATGGACTTCGCCACGGTACAAATCCAAGGGAACTCTACTATGATTATAGCTGTAGGCGTAGGACAAATCAGTGATCAGTATTACGACCGTAACATACAGCAATGTCTATGAAAGGCAGACATGATTTGTATATCGGGAATAATCAATTCCACGCAATTCTAATGAAGTAAAACTAATTGCTTAGGCAGCACTGAGCATTTTTCCTAGTTCTCGACGAAGTCCGCAAAAGTAGACCTTAGGTTACGTGCCAGTCGAATAGACAAGTAGTCCTCTGTAACGGAATGTCTAATTAGGACACGATAAGTCTGGCGTATTTACAGTCATAGCGGAAATGGAAGCCATTTCGCTAATCAATGTTTAATAGGACAAAAAATAGTTCAGTGATGCTTCAACGATAACGTTGCCCTGATTGTTTTGTCACGCAAATATTCATAGTCCTTACGTCCGTTATTCACAGATGCACTTTTAATACTCACCGCGTAGTTCCTTATTGGTATTAGTCTCTGGTCGTTGAATCTCGATTTCGACTCAAAAACATTACTCTTGCCATTACTCTGAAGTCCAGTAGAATGAGCCCTAGCGATCACGCCGACCATTGCATTCGGCTTTGTTGGCCTATCTACCTGCTCATTGAGAACTGTACGTTAAAGACACGCTTCATCGATAGCTATTGCAAGACAAGGCCCGCAAGGTTTATTGAACTGTTCGTCAATTACCACATGGAGACCTTTTGTGGAATACTAGGCGCAACTATGGTAGAAACCTTAACACGGACCTCATCAAGCCGCACAAGTTTTTGAGGGACCCTGCGTTTGTTAGTTGAGAATTGCTGCGCACGATTACAAGAAAAACGATCCCGATTATTTTTTACTGAGATAGGACCCAAAGTCCTTGTCAAATTTTCGTCGTTACACTACAGTTTGAAACAGGAAAAAAAAAATTTGGAAAAAAAAATTAAAAGATACCTCTAGATCAGCTTTTGCAATGTACTCGTCACTGCCATTCTCGCCTGCGGTCAAGGACATTATCATTAGCGTTACTGATAAACCGTCTCTAATCGGATTTGTCTAGCATTTCGTAATCATCTTATCTAAATAGAGGAACCCAGCAACTCTCGAATAGCCCGTTCAATATTTACATACATACCCGAAAGTGGCGTTTACTACAGCCACTTCTGTAATTCGCGTTTCTGTTCTTAGCATAAAATCATTGTCGTAACCTTATAGCGATAAAAACCGTTAACAGTTATTGTTAACGGCAGAATCAGCAACGAGATGACATCTGCCAGGCGGTCTGATGAAGAAATTCAAACGTGTTGTAGTTCACGCGTCAACATTAGGTCTGTACTCATGTGGCTGGCTTCTTCGTTCTCTTTTTTGTGTGACTTTTGTTGCGTGTAGTAACGCGAAGACAATGCCAACATTAGTGTTTAACAAAACACAAGTTTACATCGGCGAATCAGACCGCAGATCATTGATACTATAATAAATTATCGATTGAGTGAAACTATCCTTGTGAAATGATAAGTGCATTCTCACGGTCGTTACTTGTGTACCTTTTTGCCACTTTGACAGTATCCATCAATATACCCATTTCCATTTACGCTTCAAGCTGCTTTTGCCCCGGCCATAATCTACCCTTCTCCGCCTCCCGGTACGTTTAGATTCTTTTCATATTTTTATAGAAGTGTTGGAGAACTTAGTCGAAGAAACATACCACTATGGGTGACTTCACACTTTTATGCTATAAGGCTAGTATTATACTCAACATCTCAAAACAAAGTAGTTAGTTTATTAACAGGCCCGCAATTTCGCTTGTTATTTTTGTTGGGTCAATCTCGTTCGACTGTGTCTGATTTCAGCATAAAACAGCGTCAAGGTCTCTGCTGCGTTGTGACAAATTATGCCCTCGATGAGTTCGGTACGCTTTTGGGCTGGGTACATCAACGAGGAATAATACTGCCTTACCTACAAGTAAGTTTTGAGATGGATTCAGATCGAAATTAGAATCTATCAATTCGGCTGGTCCCAATGGTTCTTCTAAATGTATCTCAATGCTATCGGAAAGAGACAAGTAGAAATTCCATATGTGTATAGTGCAACATGCTAATATTTCAAGATCTCAAATGAGGTAACCGTACTTAACCTTCGACTACCCAATAAACTTAAGAACATGCTCTATGAGGTCTCTACGAACGAGGCTAAATCAATTCCATTTCGCTGAAGTCTTTATGATTGAGATGAGAGATAGCCTTTCCTACACCAAAAACGAATTGCTAGATTAGTATAATATGTATCACAAGAATTATAGCTACGTAGGCCGTCCGAAAGAAATTCTAGTCTAACGCACAAACGGATACTTTTTACCAAATAGTACTTTATATCTCAATAATCCCCAGCTCCCACCTTTTCAGCCCGTTAAAATTGTCATTGGTGCCTTCGCCTGCTCATTCGATGGAAATCTCTGTTTTTCGAGCAAAACTTTGATGTTAAGAAATAGAAAAAAAAAAAAGTCGCTGGGTGCCAGATTCGGTGGTCAGTCAACTCGAACCCTAGTTGCGAGTTTTTGCAATAGTAACCACTGACCGTGTGAGATTATTGGTCGTCCTGATGGAACAACATTTTTCTCCAAGACTAGCATCGACTGACGCAAACGAACAACAGCTGGGTATCCAACATGGCTAAAATGTCGATAGTTTCGCAACACAATCCATACATAATTAGAAAACAAGACTGTTTTTAACAAACAAGATTATTTTCACCCTTACAGAACACCCATGTAGGTTCCATTACTTAAATGAATAGCAGTATTGATATTTACAGCTATTCTGGAAAGCACTCCGCCGCTGCTCGCCTTTAGTCAGTCATTAGAATACGAACTAATAACCGCTAGGATATAACTAGTCAATATGAACAAAATCCCTACGTGTTCGCGACCCATTTTCCAACCAACACTAGCCAACATCGTATATCGAGCTACAATATAAAAAAACTCCTGTGCTTTATATTAAATTCGAGACAATATCTAAGACAAAAGCCTGATAAGGCAATTGTCTTTTTTTCTTCCTTTCTTTATTTCCGTAGATTACAGCCGTCGGGTTGCGCGACGCTGTCCGCGCGCGAAGACCACGATCGCCCTGCCCCAACTTACAGACTGGGCCAGTTACGAAACAGAGCTGTTTATTAGCCGATCGCGTATACGGGCTGGTTGGTGAGGCGTGAAACTGTATCTAACAGCGCAGATTTCGGAGTCGAATAAAGCTTTTAGGCCCCGGGTGCTTCTGACCTGGTCGCAAACCGTAATGCTACCACCGTCTCGTTGTTGCCATCCATGATGTACAGCAACTCGAATCAGCGAACGCCTTTTCAGTTTTATTAGTAGTAATCCGGTTAGATCAGAGCAATGGCCTGTGCTATTGCTAGTACTGTTGCAAGGCTGGAGACATCCCAGTGTCTGGGGGGGGGCTCGGTTCAGCAATCCAATGACGAAGTAGACGACATTTCAACCTTACAGAAAGGTGCAGTCTGGGCATGGTTGCTGTGTGACGTCGGGCGCTTCCCACGTATATTAGCCAGACCGCAATATGTGTGCAATGCCATCTGTATGTGTCGATAGGTAGCAAAAAGAAAAGAACCAGTGTAGCTAGCAGCAAGCGCAGAAGGGCTGGCTCCAATTCCAGGATATCAGATCAGCTAAGCGGAAGTATTGCCCTCTCTAAGCTGTTTTCGGGGGCCAAGCAGCTAAACCGTTCGCTAACCTGACTTGATGCCTTGACCAACGGTATCAATAGATGGTCAAACCTTAGAGGTGAGTCAGGTGAACCTTAGAGTTTGCGCTCAGCTAAATCTTCAATGGACTAATGCTACGATGTCCACTGGCACCCATCATCACCAGCTGAGTTGGAATTCCACTTAGAAATATATATATATGTATATATATAAAATGAAAGAGCGGCTATTTCTCTTTAGGTGATGCTTCATCAGATTCTGTCTGAAAACTCGACACTGCTGTCTAAGATTGAATATGCATGTATGTATATATGTTTAGATCTGGGAACTGGCCTCTTACGAGTAAACAAGTCGGATTCAGAGCCGGGTTTTCAAGAAATGAATTTTCTCTGCTGAATTGGTTACGCTGAAGTAATCAAGTTATCGCAGTGTTTCCCTCAATAGATGCCGTGGGCTATATTCTTTAAACCGGCTTAAATTGGATTTGCTAAAAACCTCGACAATCTCGCTTCATTGACGCTATAGTTCGTGTGCGTCAACTCGTAAATACTAGCTATTTAGACAATAACGGCGTGTCCATTTTTGTTTTTATTTATTTAAGAGAGTACCGTCATTATCCAACCGTGTGTGAATCCACCGATCTCAAGCGCATGTTGAATGTATGCTTGCATACAGTCTTAACGAAAGTTAGCCCGCTATCTAATGCTGGCTACTCAGGCGGACATTTATTAGGTAACGCTAAAATAACGTTGGGACAAACAACAACCTTTTATCATCACCACCTTTTTATCAGAACCATCATTATTATCATCGTTGTCGACAGAATCATCATTATTGGTCTTCGTTTATGATGCGTATGAGTTGTAAACAAGAACCTCACTGCGTAAAACTAATGTTAAATAAATCTTAGAAATTTTATGCACGTTTTCCATAAGTACAGGTGCACTAAAAATTGAGAAAAAAAACTAAGAAGTTAGCTTACTATGAAACAAATTCAAGCTAGCCCAAAATAGCGGGGGCTTCTTGTTTAGCATTACTAGTTATTTGTCGTATCTGGACGAGCCCTCGAAATCACCTCTTTTTAAGTAGAACATCAAAGACCCGCCCCCATCTAACTGGAGTAAGTAACCTGTGAAATGATATGAAAATTATACAAGCAACTAGTAATTTATTTAATAACTCCTAATTAACACTTAATGATAACTTTTTGCCAGCACTGAGATTTTAACCAGCGCAGCAGCATGCTTGCTAGCTGTAGTTTCTGTGACTGGGCACTTCAGGAGTCGCGTATCAGTCACCCAGAACACACCACCCTTTGAAACATCACAATTATGTATTTATCAGATCGGATGCTTTTAGATTGAGTTGTACTACATCTCGCGCATAGGACACGATTCTTCCATTTAAGCCGAATGTCGGCTGAATCGGCAGCTATCCCCCTAGTAACACTCTGCAGCGCTATTCAGGGTCATCTTTTAATATAAATAGTGAATCTGTGTACGGAGGACGTACCGTGTACTACCATTGTACCCCAGAAGACTTTACTTGCTAATTCAGTAAATGAATAAATTATATGGACATTTAGATAAAAGCAAAACTGTCAAGGTGACTGCGTCTGAAATATGATTGCATCAATGGCTCATAATGATTTGATGCCAAGGAACTGATGAATGAGTTTGCCACTACTAAATACCTGGGTTGTGGTAGTATTATATGTTCAATCAGCAGTCATGATATTCCATAATGTACATATCCTGTGTCCAGAGGTTTGGGTAGCCAGCCTTTCAGTCGATCGTCAGCGAAAAGTATTTATTTTTGTAATAAAGTAAGGTACCTGTTCGCACTTTACATACTCATTATTACCGTATAGCCAGTGTTAATTATCTTCTACAGTTCCGAATTATCAGATAATATTTAGTTTACTAGATTATGTGTTACAAACATAAAATGAACATCTTTTAGCGCCTGAAAAGATGTCTCCGATACGAGTACTATTATACTGAACATCAGTAATTGCGACTAGTACTACAACTAGGGATTCAAAGCAAAATGATACAAAGTTTCTCGGTGTTTCAGTTTTTTTATTTCTTCCCAACGCTTGCTATCCTTCCTTCAATCTACGCGTTTACTTCGGTTGAACGTAATGCTCGCTACTGCAGATAGCAAGTTTTGTGCTATCTAGGGGTGCCTATGCGGATGAATGCCGCTCAAGAACACGGACTTCTGCACCCATCGCACGGGCTGGTACACCACGAAAATCTCATACAAGCATACGTTCACCATTTGTCTGTACCATTACTACGTACAAATGCCACTGAACACAAATGGTATTAGCGACGCTGGTGGTAGCAAAATCAGTGTTAGTAACACGATACAGCGTTTAAGTGTTATTAAGACAATGATTATGTAATTACGTTCGGGCAGATGGACGAATCGGGGAGGCGACACAAAAGCAAACAGAGAGATCCTACCAACGCTTTCTCGTGTAGCGCTTGTGGTAAATGCCCATAGAGCTCTCATTGGTAACGACGACGACGACGACGACGATCATGATGATTCAACGTAGAAACGCCAAGCCACTTCGACGGCCGATGATAGCGGCACGAACGAAAAAGCTCCCTCTACCTAAACCTTTCCTCGAGTATAACTTATGTGAACAAGCAGGCGACGGCATAAATGTGCATGTCATGTAGGTAACAGACTCAGGATAGCGCGCAAAAAACTTAACTCCGCAGCTACGTCATAACTTCCCGCACTTCAGGCTCAGATCCTGAAGCAACGTGCACTGCTGGGACCGCCAACATTTGAGACTTTCTATGAAAATTGAACTGGCACAGCTATCATGATGACCTCGGTTGCTTGGCTGTCGTACAGGTTTTACCTGCTGTCTCGTTTCATATTGCCGGCCTTTCGGGAGGACCCTTACTGATGCTAGGAATGGAAACTGCTCGCAGCATGATCACCTCCTTCGTGAACTTCGTTAATCGGCTGGCTGTGTAGCCTTGGCAACTGATGTCGCCTTTGGAGTTACTACTTGAGAGATACTTTTAACGCAAGAGGAAATTATGAGAAGACCAGGAAAAGAAGAATGGCGTGCTTCAGTTGCCCAGTGACGACCAGCTTGAGTGAGACTGGAGTAAGATCTTCACCTGCGACAACAACAGCAGTTGCAACAGTAGCAAAAAAAACTAGAGAGTGATAGCCACCAACCCTATTAACGTATCAAAGTAATGGTCCAGTGTCTTTTCATGTCGCAGCACGACTTAAGAGAAAATTTCTACCTGAATCTAATTGGACGGCGGGAGGAGGGAAGCACGGCAGGCGGTAGGGTACAATGCATGGGATTTTTTTAGTCGACGAAGGTTTTCACTGAAATTATAAGCTCCCGTACATCAGTACACATTGACAGTTGTTGCATCTTAGTTGTTTTGTAGCCAACAGAAAAGTCATTTGTAGGACTCTTGTATGTAGGCCAAAAACTCCACTTAGGAAGGAACTTTGAAGTGTCAAAATCGTGCTGTATGCATAGCGACAAACGAATACGTTTCCTTTAGGCAACAGCTTAAGCAGCTATAAGTGATGTGGACGGAGGGAAGGCACAAACATCTTAAGATGTTGATTGTATGAGCATACTGCCACGAGCGTATGTACAAGCACTAATCTTAAATGTAATTATTGGCTTGAGTGTTTAAATATGCGACAATATTTTCTTCCCTAGCCAAACAAACCTTTGCAAGTTGGTGACGCTGTTATTCCTTAGTATCTCAAGTTTAACGGATGTGGCAAGTTGAACTAAAAATGGTGCATTATCGTGCTAGTTGCTGAACACAAATTTGAAGTTAATCTTTTAAGTATTATCACCTTTGCATTGACACAGATATGCTGCCTAGTCCATTACGCACAAGCACTAATCAGTAAATCGGACAACTTTAGATGCCTATTACGTATGAGCTATTTAACTCCATGCTGTTTACTTCTATAATTTTTTATGATATACTTTGAAGAGGAATCAGTGTGGCATATGGAAGTCCAGAGATGGCCATTGATTTTAATGGAAAATAAATAAATCGTTGTCATTGGGATCCGTGCTTTGAGCCCCAAGCATATTTCAATTTAATAATGTCATGCGTCAGCTTTCCCACATGAAAAAAAAACTAAATAAAAAAAATTTAGTGCTTAGTTATCTCAATTAATCCCGTTTAGATAATAGGCAAGCAGAAAAATCAAAACAAAGGCGCCGTATTTACCTCGAGAACAAAGTGGCGTAAAAAATATTAGTATATATATATATATATTAGATGAATTTACATATGTTGAACTTTACATTATCAATAGCAAAATGCGAACGATACGCCGTGTCTGCTATTATCGAACTGAGTAGTGTATAAAGTTACACTCAACATAAGAAACACAGCTTCTGGAAAAGAAGTGGGCCACCGGCCCAGAAAACCCCTCAATCCGGAAAGAAAAACATACACTCCTATATTTTCCTAAGCAGATTTTTCTAACTGCTTCAAAGTACACGGTCATTCGTGCTTGAAATGAAACATTAATAAATTGAGGGAGCGCTATTCAATTGATCTACTAGCCGCTTTTACAGGGTCAGTGCCCTGCAATGATTTCAAATAGACTTGGAATTACAGCGTTAGCCATCGGCCTTTTCTTAAGCGTCTGGCCATTTCGCCACTTTGTTTTTATCTTGAGCCGTTCGTCCGTCTGAACTGCTTGGACGTGCTGCTGCTCTTGCTGTTGTTAACTCCACTCTGATTAGGCTTCTTCTTGTCGAGGTGCGTCTTTTCACTCAACACCCGCTGCCAAGGCACGCTAGTGTTGAGTATGACCCTTTCCGCCTAGCGCCCTCTCGTTGACTCTCGATGTAATCAAAATTATGGTCACGTCGAACCCTTAGGGAACACTGCGCTGCCTTCCACGGCTTACCGACCTTCCGTCTGCGTTAGAAAGGCTGTTTGCAGTCGTAGTACTAGTAGGGGAGAGTAGTTAAGAAGGGAGTCATACCTCGCCGATTGTCGATTCACTCGCTAGCTGACAGTCACAGCGGCAACATCAGACGGGTTGTCTGAGGTGTGCACAGAACTTGCCTGTTGTGCAGGCAGCACGCACGGCTCGAGGCAGAAATTGGCGAACATCGCTTGGTACCCCGATTAGAAAGCAGCCCAGACAGAATGCTGGAAGGCCAAACGATCAGTAGCACT